CTCATGTCAAGTTTGTGGTCAACCAAGACTCCTAGATCCTTTTCACGTGTACTGCTCTCAAGCCAGGTGTCACCCATCTTGTATTTGTGCCTCTCATTTTTTTGCCCAAGTGCAATACTTTACATTTCTCCTGTTAAAATTCATCTTGTTTGTTTTGGCCCAGTTCTCTAATCTGTCAAGGTCGTTTTGAAGTGTGATCCTGTCCTCTGGGGTGTTAGCCACCCCCCCAGTTTGGTGTCATCTGCAAATTTGATCAGGATGCCCTTGAGTCCATCATCCAAGTCGTTGATAAAGATGTTGAATAAGACCGGGCCCAAGACAGAACCCTGTGGCACCCCACTAGTCACTCTTCTCCAGGATGAAGAGGAACCATTGATGAGCACCCTTTGGGTTCGGTCAGACAGCCAGTTACAAATCCACTGAGTGGTAGCATAGTCAAGACCGCATTTTACCAGCTTCTTTACAAGAATATCATGGGGCACCTTGTCAAATGCCTTGCTGAAATCAAGGTAGGCTACATCCACTGCATTCCCTTCATCTACCAGGCTTGTAATTCTGTCAAAAACGAGATCAGGTTAGTCTGACATGACTTATTTTTCAGAAATCCATGCTGACTATTGGTGATCACAGCATTCCTTTCTAGGTGCTCACAGACTGTTTGCTTAATGATCTGCTCCAGAATCTTCCCTGGTATTGATGTCAGACTGACTGGGCGGTAATTATTTGGGTCCTTTCTTTTCCCTTTTTGAAAATAGGGACAACATTTGCCCTCCTCCAGTCTGCCGGGACTTCGCCTGTTCTCCAGGAATTCTCAAAGATGACTGCCAGTGGTTCTGAGATCACATCTGCCAGTTCTTTTAATACTCTTGGATGCAGTTCATCTGGCCCTGGAGACTTGAATACATCTAAACTAGCCAAGTATTCTTGTACTATCTCCTTAGTTATTCTGGGCTGTGTTTCCCTGCTGAATCATTTGCTCCAAATTCTTCAGGTCGGGCATTGTTTTCTTTATCGGAGAAGACTGAGGCAAAGAAGGCATTGAGGAGTTCAGCCCTTTCTGTGTCCCCTGTTTGCATTTCACCATCTTCTCCTCTGAGTGACCCCACTGTTTCTTTGTTCTTCCTTTTGCTACGAACATACCCATAAAAGCCTTTTTTGTTGCTTTTAACCTCTCTAGCAAGCCTGAGTTCATTCTGTGCTTTAGCTTTTCTGACTTTGTGTCTACACGTGCTGGCTATTTGTTTGAATTCCTCTTTGGTGGTTTTGCCCTTTTCCATTTTTGTACGCATCCTTTTTAATCTTAACTCAGTTAAAAGTTCTTTAGATAGCCACCCTGGCTTCTTTAGGCACCTTCCATGTTTCCGTCTCATTGGTATTGCCTGAAGTTGTGCTTTTACTATCTCCTCTTAACAAACTCCCAGCCATCATGAACTCCCTTTCCTTTTAGTATTACTGTCCATGGGATCTCACCCAGCACTTCCCTAAGTTTTATGAAGTCGGCTTTCTTAAAGTCAAGAAATTGAGTCCTAGTATGCTTGGCTGCTCCTTTCCGCTGTATAGTAAACTTCAGAAGAGCATGATCACTCGCGCCTAATGATCCTTCCACTTCTACCCCACTAACCAGGTCATCAACATTGGTTAGGACCAGATCTAAAATGGCTGTTCCTCTTGTTGCTTCTCCCACTTTCTGGACAATGAAGTTGTCTGCAAGGCCAGTGAGGAATCTGTTTGACCTTATGCTCTTGGCTGAGTTTGACATCCAACAAATATCCGGGTAATTGAAGTCCCCCATTACTACTATCTCCCTTCCTTTTGCATGCTTGGCCATCTGTTCCAGGAAGGCATCATCTATGTCCTCCGTTTGGCTTGGGGATCTATAGTAAACTCCCACAATGAGGTCACTGTTATTCTTCTCTCCTTAATTTTGACCCAAATGCTCTCACTTTGGCTTTGAGGTTCTAAATCTTGGATCTCTTCACAGGTATACACATCCCTGACATATAATGCCACTCCTCCTCCTTTCTTGTCTGGTCTGTTTCTCTGAAATAGATTGTATCCCTCCATTATTACATTCCAATCGTGGGACTTATCCCACCAGGTTTCAGTGATGCCTATTATGTCATATTTAGTTTGCTGTACCAAGAGCTCAAGCTCATCTTGTTTATTTCCCATGCTTTGTGCATTAGTGTACAGACATTGAAGTCCATTAATCATCCCCCGTGTCTCTTATTTAAGGATTTTTCCTCCCACCACTAGGTCTGCGTGCTGTTTGCTCCATCTGGTCTATGACATTTGGATGATCATCTTCATCAATTGATAGACTCCTACCTTCAGGAGCACTGTCTCCCTCCCCCACATTAGTCAGTTTAAAGCCCTCCTGATGAGGTTTCTGAGATTTCTGGCAAAAACATTTCTCCCAACCGTTGTGAGGTGCAGCCCATCGCTTGCCAGAAGTCCATCTTCAAGAAACTGCAGTCCGTGATCTAAGAATCCAAACCGTTCCTGTTTACACCATTTGCGAAGCCAGCTGTTCACTTCCACTATTTTTCCTCTCTCCCTGGGCCACGTTGTTCAACTGGGAGGACAGATGAGATGACAATTTGTGTATTTAATTGCTTCAATTTCCTGCCCAGAGCCTCGTAGTCTCTTTTGATCTTCTGGAGGCTATTGCTTGCAGTGTCATTGGTTCCCACATGAACCAAGAGGAAGGGGTATTTGTCAGTGGGTTTTATGATTCCTTGCAGTCGTTCAGTTACATCTTGGATCTTAGCCCCGGGAGACAGCACACTTCCCGAGACATCTTGTCAGGCCCACAGATCACTGCTTCTGTTCCCCTCAGTAGGGAATCCCCTATCACCACTACACGCCTCCTCTTAGGTTTGGTCGGGGTTCTTCCGTGAGCTGTCCGTTCCAAGGTCGCCTGCACATTCCCTGAGGACTGACTTTGCTGCTCGTCTTCATATACCTGATCGACTGTAATGAGGGAGAGATCCTCAAATGGAGTCTGCTCTTCGTCTTCCATGCTAGGGGAGAGGACCTCAAAGCGATTGTGTATTTCTAAACAATCAGAGCGAACCCTGGGCCTCCTACTTCTTTGAGTCACGTTTCTCCATATATCTGGCTCCTGTGTTGGTGAACTAGCCTCCTTCTCAGGGAGTCCCCTGTCTCCTCCTTGGTGGAGACGGTGTGCTCTGTTGCTTCCAAGAAGAGCTCCAGCTCTCTAATTCTTTGGAGCGTAGCTACACGTTCCTCCAGTTGCTGGACTTTGTCTTTTAAGAGGGCAATCAACATGCAATTGCTGCAGGTAAAGCTGCCTGCAACCTTTGGCAAGATGGCAAACATTGCGCAGGAACTGCAGGCGACTGCAGCTGTTCCTCCCCTCCATCTTGAGAACGTGTCGTTGGGGGTGGCTACAGCGGTCCTCCATCATAAAAAGCGTGAAGACAGGACAAATAACTCCCCCCCAAAAAACCTAGGTCTCCCCCAACAAACGTTTGAGACTAGCTCCCCTAAATCTAAAAGATGGATCAAACTGCGCGCGCCACTGCCTCAACAGAAACCCTGCCCCCTCTGACCTTTGCACAGGGAGAGCAGCTAAGGTAAGGTAAGGTTAAAAAAAAAAACCTAGACGGTGAAGTATAGTCAAAGGCGTGTGATGTTTCTCTCGCTTCAGGCTGAGGGAGCCGGCGTTTGTGAGCTTCTACCTCGCCATGCATCTTTCATTTTCATTTTCCCACTTCCTACATTGCAAGTTGCACTTCCAATTCAAGTGTTAATGCACTGTATGAATAAATTATTCATTATCACTTTGACATTTTCCCTTAAATAAAATTAATACTGAGTTCAAGACTTTCAAAAAACAAATTTCTGAGTTGAGTGAGTTTGTGCTACCATAAAGATAAAGCATTAACTCCATTCATTCTGAGCAACAATTTAGCAAGCACATTAGAATGTTAAAATGTGAATAATCTCATTCTTTTGGTACTCCATTTATAGGTTTGCCTGTTCCTTTCATATTGAAATGGGCTCTTCAAAATGGATCTCTGTTGTTTAAGGGATAATATAAATGAATACAACACATGAGTCAACTGCTAATCGCTTCCTGCTTGGTTTACTGAGAAGCAATCTGACAAGCTGCAGGTATAAATGTTAACTAATAGTGATCAACAATGACAAAAGTTACACATACTTCTGTAAAACAAGAAAATCTTTAATAAAAAAAAGGGGGGGACCAATGACAAAAGTTATAAGGAGACAAGAGCTACTCTGGGGCCAAAGCAGAAGTGGCATCAAATGTGCATTTGCAGTTAATATGAAGGTGTTGTTTTTAAATGCAAATTGCTTCAGTGGAGTCGGGGTGATAATTAGAGCATAAATGGTGGGGAATTTAATTATTTCCATTCACTCCTCTTTTTTTAAAAAAATCCCTCCTCTGAATTTAGTTTGGGCTAAGAACAAGTAGATAAATAACAAGTAGATAGGTACCGCTCCGGTGGGAAGATAAATGGCGTTTCCGTGCGCTGCTCTGGTTCACCAGAAGCAGCTTTCTCATGCTGGCCACATGACCCAGAAGCTGTATGCCGGCTTCCTTGGCCAATAAAGTGAGATGAGCGCTGCAACCCCAGAGTCAGTCATGACTGGACCTAATGGTCAGGGGTTCCTTTACCTTTAAGAACATTGGAACCGATGGAGAATTTCCTCCCAATGCAAATAGTAGTTTCAGAAGGGGAATTTTCCTCAGGACCAAAGCAATCAAGGAAAAGCTTAAAGACATCCATGTCTTCAGGAAACCTGAGGAGTTTCTGTTGACAGGGACCATTGGCCAGCAATTCATTTTCAACAATAAATCTGTATCTTGCTGGGGGAAAGGGCTGAAGGGGCACCAAAATAATCTCTGCTCACTGACTCACAGAGCGAAAGGCTCTTTAACTAACTTTCCTTTAGAGGAATAGCAAAGAAAAATTTGGTTGAGATCTCCCTAATAATTGAGATCCTGTCTTTCACATAGCATCTCTCTCTCTCTCTCTCTCTCTCTCTCTCTCTGTGTGTGTGTGTGTGTGAGAGAGAGAGAGAGAGAGAGAGAGAGAAAGAAAGAATGAACAAACAGGTTTTCAAAGAGCCCCTGAAATGCAGGATTCCTTCAAGTGAAGGCCTGATCTTTGAAAGCTTCAAAAAGAAGGAGTGTTCTACTTTATAGAGGACACATGGTCACTCCAATCTCATATTTGTGCCTTGGCTCATGTAGAAGATACTGGGATCCAGACTGAGTCCCAGCATAGCAATTCCCTATCTTCCCACAGGCCTTGCTTTGGTGACAAGTCTTAATTGGCTCAGTCAGGATATATTAGCAACCATGTATTCCAAGGCTTAGTATTCATTCCAAGAATTCATTCAGTCTTTTCCATTTCCAGTGCCCCTCTTAGAAATACTGTGGCCATTATGACCATTTTCAAATGGTTATTAGATACGATTCATAGATGTGCAGAAATTAGATGAGATGTAAGAAGTGAAATCTAATAGATTCTCAGAATTAGGTCTGTAGACGTTTGTCAAGTGCAATTTTATACATGGGCTTACACAATTATTACTCTTGCAAATGCATATTTATGACAAACTGCTTAACCAGAGAAGGTGTAGGGACAGGGTGAGATTCCATTCCACAGATTAAAATTCAATTACTTCTTTCTGTCCCACGTTGTTGTAAATTATGATTGCTACAGTTCTGAAAGCACTTATTCTGATGGGTTCTCAGTGACTAACTTATTTGGTTTACAAAATTTATGCACCACTTGATTGTATAAAAAAAGCCCCAAACCCTCAAAGCTGGTGCAGTTAACGGTGGGGGTGTCTATTTTAAATATATGACAGCCCTGCCTCTCATATCAGTTGGAGGTGAGAAGGGAAGTTCAATGGATGTAGTTCAGTGCTAGTGCATTTGCTTTGGTTTAATCCCTGACACCTCCAGTTGGGAGTATCTCCTGTATGAAACTCTGGAGATCTTCTGGCACCGTGAGCAATACTGAGCTAGATTGACCAGTGGTCTGACTCTGAATAAAGGAGCTTCCTGTATTCTTCAGTAAAATGATTTGTATTTTCCTCCCTGTGTTTGATGTGCACAGATTAAATTTCAGGTGGTCTAAATGCCCACTGATCTAACAAAAAAATCAAAAAATAAAATTATCACTGAAGTCCATATCAAAGATTTCCTTCAGCAGCAGATGGTATATATTGAATATTTGATTGGAAGTTTCATGAGCTTTTCCAGTATAATTGTGCCTAACAGCAGTAAGTTTCACAGTATTTGATAATGCCCTTTGATTCCAGTTCTCTTTCTGCAGGGTCGTTGCTCCTATAGAAATTGATGCTCTCAAACAAAATTGTAAAAGTGCATGCTGTACTCTAATCACTTGCTTTTGTTCTTTCCCCATTTATCTTTGTTAGTCTAATTTGTGTGTGGTGTGTCTCTGTGGGGAATTTTAGCTGTTTTTCATTATCTTTCATTCAATATTTTTTTAAAAACAACAACTCTGAGTGAGTTATTTTTACTTCTCAGTGACCCTGAACCAACAGACAATGTATACAGCTAGGTCGCACAACTTGTAGGCTGTGGAGGCAAAGATCTGCAACTGCAAGTCATTCTGTAGCCTACAGTGAGAAGATCCTAATTGTCAAAAATAGCTCTCCATTTTTTTAAATAATATTTATTGCTTTTAAAAGTTACAAAAAAGTAGAAAAAAGAGAGAAAAAACACAAAAAAGAAAAAAAGAAAGAGAAAAACAATACAATGTATAAACAATACAAACCCACCCTAAACCCATTAAACTAAACACATGAACAAAGCAAGACAAAAGCAATTTAAAAGCATATCTCCTTTTCCATACTCTATCCTTCATTCCCTTGTTTCCTCGACTTCCTCGCACCTCCCTTCTTGTATCCCACTTCTAGTACTTGTTTCAGCAAATCCTTTCCATCTTTCTCTATTTTCTGTCATATTAAAAATAACATATTCTTTAACCTTATTTCCCATTAACAGTTGATTACTTATATACACCCAACTTCTTATAGCATTTCTGCTAAATCCATAAAATATCATTCCACCGTTTTTCTGACAGTCATTACTTTAACAAAGTTTCTAAATAAACACTTTAAATTTTCCATTAAACTTCCACTATCTTCTCTCCCTGGCTTCGGATTCTGCCAGTCCTTTCCGTCAGTTCGATATAATCCATCAACCTGGTGCCCTAATATCCAAGGCTCTTAAATCTCTTCCAAGTCCCTTCTGCAGGTCTTCTTCATGTTCTTTGATGCTCAGGAGCAAGTTTCGGGAAAACTCCAGCCTAGCAATACTTTTGTTCCTTCTGGACAGTTCGGCCAAATTTCCAAAGTTAAAAGTAAAGTCCATAAAGTGTTTCAGAACGTATTTCAGGATTCCTCCAATTCTAGCGACCCCCAAAACTTCAAACTCCTCCAAGCCCAAGTCCATGTCCCAAAAGTCAGTCAATCCCTGGATAGAGGGTTCTTTCCAACTTTCCTTCTTCAATCCAAGCCGGGATCCTAGCCTCGAAATTTGACTTTTGCTAGATTCAGTCATGAAAGACCTCAATTTATAATCCTCAATCTGCTTCTGAGAAATTAAGGATCCCGCTTGTACTACTTTTAGTTTCTCATCATCAGCTTTCTCCTTTTTTCCACCATTTTCACATCATCAGCTTTCTCCTTTTCCTCCACCATTTGTTCAACCAAGATATGTTCCTGTACCCAATCCTGAGTTGTTTCTGTATTAGCACTCACTTTTTGATTCAAATTAATCACGTTCTGTTCCAAGTTGTCAATTTTAGAGATCGTGTCATCTGTCTTTTTATGAAGCTGTTCCAGCGCGTGATTTATCTTGTATAATACAGTCACAATGGCTTCTCCTATCAACATTTTGAGTGATCCAAGGTCAGACTCTATTTTTCAAAATCTTATCTTGCAGCTGGAGCTCTCCCTAATGCACTCCTGTAACAGTTTCACATGCTCCCTCTAGAGGGAAACAGTCTCCGTTTGTATCAATTCTTTCAAACACAACTCAAGCAAGTAACAATAGTTTCAATTTTCGGTTGCTTTTTCCTCCATTTTTAAACGCAGAAAAGGACAATGGAGACAGTGCCTTTCTTATTTTAGCTAGCTGTCAAATCTGTTCTATCGGTAAACATTCCCCGAACGTCATCTGGCAGCCCTTTTCCAGGTTCAGAGCAGTGGCAATTTAATTTTGACTCTCTTCTGCAGGCACACTAAATCCAAAACTTCCCCTCTCTTCTCCTGCTTCCAAGAGGGGTTATATATTCTTGTCCGGTAGAAATTTAATCCTTTATCAAAAGCTTTCAAAGACTTTAGCTTGTAACGTCTTTGCTTCAATCTATTTACAAAACGGGAGGCGGACTTCCTGTTTAGAACCTTCCTGCTTTCGGTTCCTAATTAAGAAATTTCATAGTCCAATTTTCCGTTCTACTCACGGGTAGTCGTTTAAAATCCAATTGTCCACAGGAAAAAGTCAGCGCTCTCCGACAACAGCAATGCGGCTTCACTCCGTGAAAGAAGCGGTTGATTCAAAGCACCGTGCCGCTCACCCCACGTCACTCCGGATCCCCAAAACAGGGTTTCCCCGCGAGTAGGGGGGGGCGCAAATGGTGCCAGCCGAATCCCAGGTTCACAGGCTTCTCCCACCTGTGATTTCTATGGGTCTCCGCCTTCACCGTGGCGGTCAGACCCTGCTTTTCACGGAGCAAATTCCTCCCGATCGGAGGAATTCAGCCATTGCCGGAGGCGCCTCCCCGGAAGTCTGTCGTCAAAAATAGCTCTCCAGTTGGGGTGGAGCTACTGCACTAATTTCCCTGGAGCTGCATCACTGTTGCTTACTGGGAGGAATGAGGCAACAGGGAGACTGGCACAGTGCCAACACACTGGCAGGTGTACCAGTCGCTCTGCTAGTGTGTTCGCACCACACTGACCTCCCTGCCGTTTCAGCAGTGACCCACCTGCCAGGAAGCCAGCATGGCAGCTCTGCCCCATCTGGTGAGTTCTGCTAACTCTGCTAATGAAATTCAGTCATAAGAGCATAATAAGGGCCCTGTTAGACTCCGCCAAAGGCCCACCTTGTACATGCATCCAGTGCTAGCCAGCCAGTTATTTATTGATAGTCACAAGCAGGGCACAATGGCAAAAGCCTTCCTTTACTGTTGTTCTCTTTCAGAAGCTTGCATTTGGTTGTATTCAGAAGCTGGTGGTTCCATACAGCTGTTTAGTTAGTTAATTTCTATTCCATTCTCCCTCCCAAAGAGCTTGGGGTAGCAACAAAGCAGCACAACAATACAATTAAAATGCTCCACACATTTAAAACATTTAAAACCAGCCACATATTCCCATAGCAAATAATTTAAAGGTTGCCAGGAACAGTGATCACAGCTAATAACCACTGAGAGGCATATCCACTATGAATCTGTCTAATTCCTTTTTACTAGCAATTGAAACCAATGGCCCTCACCACATCTCATGGCAGTAAAACTAATTATGTATTATGTGACAAAGTACTTTTCTTTCTTTTATCCATCTTGAATCTACTGCCCATCAATTACACCGGTTGACTTCAAGATCTAATGTGTTGTGTGTGAGAGAGAGAAATTCTATAGCCACTTTTTCAATATCATACATAATTTCATGTTCCTTTATCATGTCTCCCCTTAGTCATCATTTTTTCTTCTTCTAAAATAAAAAAGTTCCAAAGTCAAGGAGATGGCTAGGCTCAAATCTTTCTCCCTGAGCTTATTTTCTATGTACAATGAATGTTTTTCTACAAAAGAGTGTGTGTTACTTATTTTGAATTCTTATATGCATGCTGCTTTACATCCCTGAGAGGTTCTCAAAGTGGCCTAAAGAATATTCTGAAAAATAAAATTACATTCAAATCTAGTACTGCCAGGGTGGGAATCCTGTGGGTCTCTGTATGCTGTTGGTTATAACTTCCATCTTCCTTTGGCCATGCTCTCTGGTGCTGATGGGAGATGGAGTCTGACAACTTGCGGAGGGACACAGCACAGACACAGAAAGTACATTGTGTCCATATGGAAC